TGAATTTTTAATAGTTGATATTTAATAATTTAATATAGAAATTTATACTGCATATATAAGTTTTGACTTTTTTTTTATTTTTTTTCGAGTTTCGCTATTTTTTCTTATTAATCATCAATTAATGCTTTCAATTTCTTAATTATATTAATATAGTATATTATTTTTTTTTAACAATATTATTATAATGATAATGATATTTTGATTTTAATAAATTTCTGTCCTAATCTATTATTTCTATAAAATAACGATTGTTTTATATTCATAATTTTTAATTTTTAATACAACAAATATTTAGTAAATTTTCATTTAAATTTTAAATTTTTGATTTAATACTAAATTTAAAATTGTCTCCATTTATTCAATTAAATTTTTCTTTAGTCTTCAGAAAAATTTTAACATTAAATCATTTATTTTTATTTTTTTCGTGGCACGTTAAATAAGTGCAAGGAGTAGTTTGTAGAAAAATTTATTTGTTATTTACATTAGAAGTAAAGCTTCTAAACAAGTTTATCCAAGCGAATATGGTGTCAATTTCTTCCTATACTATACGTAGAAACAACAAGCACCAAAAACCAACATCAAAACATTGAATTCCAGAAATATAGCCCAAGAAGTCGGTATCGCGAGTTTTACGCCAAGCGACTTTGTGTCGGTTTGGTTTAATATGCTGACGGAAATCGAGAAAGAGTCATTATTGGAAGGTTCTTTTGGAAAGATTGGATTTGGATATAAATCGGATGAGTATCTGCAGCGGAGGGTTGAGTTAGTGATTGGATTTACATAGGGAAATATCATCCTCTTACAACTTACCCTTGTTGAATATTAATTTTCCAAATATAAAATATAGAAAGTGGACATTAATATCATGGATAACATGATCTTTTTAAAGCTTGTGAGAACTAACCAAGTGAACTCATTATCTCTCTCAGATGTGGTCCAATGACACCACCAGAATAGCTCCCCCCTCTCGCGGTAAGATTAGTTCCAGTGACTCCAGACTCCACAACATATCTCATCAAAAAATCCGAGGTGCCGGAATAATCCGCATTACTTACATGACAAATACTGGATCCTGGAAAAAAAGGTATACTAGTTTCCAAGAAAGTTCCACTAATAAAATCTACACCCCTTGGCACAAATTTCATACTTTCCGCCATCGTAGCCATTCTGTAAAAATATTTTGCAACAGTTTCCCATTGTGATGATGCTTTAAATTTATCGGAGAAATCGGTTAAACTAGAAAATTTTGTTCCCGGAGGCCCAAATGTATTTAGTTCTGATGTAATATTGGTAGATGAAATTATGCTGGAAGTAGTAGAGTCGTATATCATTAAGAATTTATCAAATATTGACTCAACAAAGCCATTGAAATATAAAGGATCGGATGAGGACATTCCCGAAAGTAGTGGGTAAGGGGTTAAAGCATCAATAGTTTTATTGTTGAATCCAAAGTAATTTCCCCAGAGCGAGTAAAAGCCGAGACCATGAAATATTTCGTGTACAGCTATCGTATAGAAGTCATATTGATTTTGCTTTATAGGTGGGTCACCCTCGAACCAATAATTAAAAGCTATAGGAGTCAATGGATTGTATGTAAAGCTCACGTAAATAAAATAGTTATGATCCATGAGAAGCTACATACCAGAATTGAATATTGAGGTAATATCGGAATCAGCATATTGTGAATGATTCGTAAATTGAAATTGCTTAACGAGTGCCTGTGGATACAATCTAGTAACGTCATCTTCTGAATCCAGAAACATCAGTCTTGTCGGAACCGTTGAGCCTTTTAAAATAATTATATTATTAATTTATTATTATTTAATTTCTTAACAATACATTATACGTATTCGATTGTTTCATTTTTCTTACCCAAAACGTTTTTATTATTAAGATTCTTAAAACGCGCATCTATAATAATTTGTGCTCTAAAATTAAACGCAGCAGAAATTGTTGATCCGGCTGTCTCAAAGGCACTTTTGATCTTATCGCATAAAGCAGTGTCACTTATTTCACACGTAAAATTGATCAAAATCATGTTCGCACCCGTTAAGTATTCACCTAAATTATCTTTTCTTTTGGGGTCATCTATGATTGGACATAGTACCAAATCGCTCTTCCGTTCTATTGCATCTATAATATCTATGCACCTTTGATTTAAAGATGTAACAGTAAGAGAAAAATTCAACATTATGACGTAAAGAAATATGAAAGATGGTAAGGATTTCATGCTTATTTTTATTAGCTCCTTGGCTTTATTTCTTACTATTTATTGATTTTTTAGAAAAATTTTTACAATGAAAGGAATAAAATAAATAACCACTCCGATATTTCGGAGATTATTTATTAAAACCTACTGTTGTACTATTATACGCCCTGTAATCATATATGTAAACTTATTGCTTGTGAAAAAAACTTCTTTATACGTAAAATAAATGCATGGTTATTTTTAGAGCATAAAATCTTAAATCAAATAGCTTATTTTGACTACAACCAAGCAATTACATTTGGAAAATTATATTCGAATGTGGACAAGGATTTTTTGGAACCTGTTATTATGATCCTAAGAATTTACATATTATTTAATAATAAAGGTCGAAAAATCTTATTTAACACTTCTTCGCCTTCAAAGATACAGTAATTGTCAATCTACTAGTAGAAAGTTTATTTCTAAAAGTAGTGGCAACGGAGATTTACATTAGATCCTATTTAAAAAAAATTTTTTTTATAGACAGTATCATATCGCATTAAGTTAAGATGACGTTCTTTTTAATTATTACATACATTATATTCCATAATTTATCTGAAATAAGATTATGTAAAATTCCTGTTTATTTTGAACTAATAATAGTACAGTAATTCTCGAAATAACTAATTTCCTAATATGTATCGCGTCATGTGCAACTAAACTCTCATCTCATCGCATAAGAAATAACAACAACTTTATCGACATGAAAATAAACAAATACACTTTATAAAATTTTTTTATTTATTGCATTGAAGCCTTTATTTTTAAATAAAATAATATACAGTATAACAAAATATGTTTTATTTAAACAAATAAATATTTATGGTATATACAGCATATATAAATAATGAAGAAAGGTTAATTAAGAAGTTTAAATTATTGTGTTTGATCAAAAATAAGATATAAATGTAAAAGATAATAATTGAAAGTATTTAGAATCCTATAAATTTAATTTCCAATTGATTCAAATTCAATATTAATAAAAAAAATTTTTTTTAATAATTTTGCTAAACTATTTTAGATATTAAATACTTGTCAAACTATTGCGTCAACACAAATAATTTATAATTAATACTTGAAAACTTATTATATAAAGTTTTTTTTTTATTTTTTTATATTGTATTATAAAAGTATAGAAAAAATTGTTATATAACATATATTATATTATTATCCGATTTAAATACTATTGAAATTAGAAAAATTTATACTTTTTAAAATTTTTTGGAATTTATTATTATTATTATTTTACTTCTAATCAATTATTTTTCTATAAGAAAATATTTTTATTAAATTATTATTGTATAATACTAACTATTTAAAAATTTTCAAATTAGTTTAATTAAGTATAATTATAAAAAATAAAAAAAATTAATTCATTTTTTAAAAAACAATTATTATCTAATCTAAAAATTATTGTTAATTTATATTTTAAATTATAATTTTATAATTATAATAAATAAAAAATAAAAAAATTTTTTAAAAAAAACTCTTTCTCACAACTTTTCAATTTGTAAAAAATTTTCTTTTTTGGTAATGACATGAATGGTAGATAATAAACAGTGAATAAGAACCTCTTCCTAAGAGAGGAGTCCATATTAGCTTTTTGTAGGATGCAAAGGGTCGATTAACTCTCTATAGAGAGGTGGATGTTTTGGGAGTGGCAAAAACCTCTTCGATTAAACCCTTTGCTTTACTGAGTGAAACCTATGTAAGTAATCTCCAAACAAAGGAAAATCTTTTTACCGTATTTACACACATTACTACCTATTACATTACAAAAAACACATACAAAACTAAACACAATCTTTTTCTCAAAAGACAGCATTTTATTTTTTCAGAGTTTTTGTTTTTTGCTGATGATAATTAGTGCCAGGTTAATTGGCATAACCTTTTAGCTAGTTGTCAATCCTTGTTCACCTTTATACACAAAAAATTGAAATCAGCTTACTCCCACCAAAAGATCTGTAACACATAAAACACTAATGACATTCTGTATTACCAAATCACATCAAAACAACATAACAACTTACTGGATTGGAAGAGTATGTGATCAGTATCCTGTATGGGTTCCAGTAATCACAATACACAACAACCTACCACAACAAAACAACAAACATCTGGAATGTATTTCAGTTACCCTACTATAACATTACAACACAACCACATTATATAATAGTAACATATTACAAAAATCATCTGATCAAACCTATCGAGTTATATGTGGCTTGCATGATGCCGTCATCCGACTGAAACATTTATTTGCATTCAGAAACTATATTTAATAAAAGCTTCAATATTTTTTTGACACCTCTTCTTTTTTACTTTTTTTTTCTTTTACTAAATAGCGATCTTGTCCCAAATATTTTTTTATTTTTTATTTTTCTTAGTAGATAGTTCCTTTCTTTTTTTGTCTGCTCAAGATTTTTTGAAAATATATCTACTACAATAGGTGGTAGACCGATATGTATAGCCATATATCTCATATCTTAATATTAATCATGTAATATTATATATTTACTCTATCAATAAAGATCATAAGAAGTATCTCACCTTAACATCAAAAAAAAAAATAAAAAATTTTTTTTAGAATTTATTATATTAATTAAGATTATAAACTTTTGATTAAAGTTAAATCAAAAACTTATATTTATATAATCTTTTTTATTTCAATTTGTTTTCAATATATAATTATTGGAAAAATTAAAAATAATATTTTTATACAGTTTAATTAATTAAATATAATTAGAATTTAAATATTTAAATATAATATATATAAAAAATCAATAAGCTTATATATAAAAAATAATTATAAGATTTGTATTCTTTTTTTTTTTTTTTTAAAGTAGGTAAACATCATTTCTTTATTTTATTTGTATATGACAAGGTATACATCGTGAA